CTTCATTCTTTGCATTTGTCTTTATGGAAAAGAAAAAATAGTTCAACTTATCAAAAGCAACACTGAAGAAGACAGAGTAGGAATGCAAGTCAAAATAGGCAAGAAAATGGTAAGGGAACACTCTAGATGAGTTCAAATTGCTGGGGCCAGAAAGATTACATCCGGGGTTCTGAAGGAGCTGGAGGCTTGATCTTTGAACCACTGATCAGAGGTCCTGGAGCACAGGGGAACTAGCAGAGGAACTACTAGAGGATTGCAAAAGCCTTGATGTGGTTCAAATCTACAAAAAGGGAAAAATGTGGATCCAAGAAACTACAGACCAATGAGCCTAATATCAATATCTGGGAAGATCTTGGAAATGATAATCAAACAATGGATTTGTGAGCATTTCCTACACACCCACTGTGCAGACCTCAATGGAAGTACATCTACATGGAGGGAAGTATGCAATGCAGTACTCCAAATTCTGTCTTAGATCCAGGACACTTCAACATTTTCATAAATGTTCTAGAAGAGGGTACAGAAGAGGACATCATCAAATTTGCAGATGGCACCAAGCCTGAGGAATAGTTAATGCTTTAAAAGATAGTCTCAAGATTCAAAGCATCCTGATGGATTTGAACAGTGGGCCTTAGCCAGCAGAATGCAATTCAGTGATGAGAAAAGTAAGGTGGTACACTTAGGCAAGAAAAACCAAATGTATATGTATACAATAGGCAGTACCTGGCTCAACAGCAGTAACTGTGAGAGGGATCTAAGTGTCCTAATGGACAAAGCCCTGTGCTGCAACTGCCAAAAAAGCTAATGCAGTCCTGGGCTGCATTAACAGAGGAAAAACGTCAAGATCACAAGAAGTGATAGTTCTGCTTTATATTTCACTAGTGAGACCACATTTGGAATACTGCATCCAGTCCTGCTCACCACAATACAAAAAAAGATTGTGAGACCCTGGAACAGGGGTGTGAAACTCACAGTCCGTGGGCTGGATGCAACATGTGCTGGCTACTCCCACCCTGGTTTAGCGAAGGGGAAAAAAGTCATGTCATTGTCATATGACAACAATGTGACTTTGACACCCCTGCCCTAGAAAGAGTACATAGAAGAGCTACAAAGATGATAAGGTGTCTGGAATCTAAAGTATACAATGAATGGTTGTGGGAACTGGGTATGTCTAGTCTAACAAAGAGAAGAACTAGGGGATGACATGATAACAGTCTTCCAGTGTTTGAAGGATTGTCACAGAGAAGTGGAGGTCAACCTATTCTCCAAAGCACCTAAGGGCAGGACAAGAAGTAACAGATGGAAACTTATCAAAGAGATCCAATCTAGAATTAAGGAGAAATTTCCTGACAGTGAGCATGATTAGTTAGTGGAACAGCTTGCCTCCAGAGGTTGTGGTTTTTCTATCATTGGAGATTTTCAAGAAGAGATTGAACAACTATTTGTCTGGAATTGTATAATGTATAGGAGTTAGACTAGAAGATCTCCATGGTCCCTTCCAGCCTATGTGCTGTGGCCTTTTGGCCACCAGCCCTTCCAGCAGCTGAAACAGAGGAGGAGGAGGTGTAGGAGTCAGGGTCAGCATCAAGGTAACCTGAAAGCTCTGAAGGGGAAGAGGGAATGGATCTGGCAGAGAGAGAGAGAGAGAGAGAGGCAGAGTCTGGGCCGGCCCTCAGCCCTCAGATGGAGAGTAAACAGCCCCCAAGTGGAGGTGGTTGATGAGGAACAGGAGAAACAGCTGGGTCCAGTGCCTGATGTATGGATGCACAGAAGGCAGAGAAGAGGAGAGCAGTGGAAATCCATGGGCCGATCCTTGGGAAGGAAGAGCCACCGCTGCTAGAGAAGCCCCAACCTAGCTCTGGGGATAAAAGCCAGGGGGCAGAGATGAATAGATGTGACAGAGAACTATTCATCTTCCGGCCGGCCGGACTTGTTAGCCTGTGGTGAGAGAGAAACTTTTTGCTGGGGCTGCTGGGGCTCCTCATAAAGGAATCTCTAAGTTCACTTCAGAAGGTTTGTCGTGTTTGGGGAGCTGGGTCAGAACCCTGGGATTCTATGATCCTCATGCCTTTCATCTGCCCAATGATGACAGACTCTTATTTACCAAGGAAAATAGGTGGGCATGGAATGTTGCAAGGACACCAGAGGGGGGGGGGAAGGACATTGGTACAATATCCGAAGAGCAGCAAAGATGCACTGCAGCTACTATACCATGAACTGTTACTGGATACCAAAGAGACCAAACTGGGCTAGTAATGACTAAGAGCAGGTGCGCACTCACATTTGCGAACAGGTAGCGAAGGTAAGCAAATATCACCCCTGAACATTTGCCTGCAAGCAAGAAATAGTGAGACCATAAAATAGAGAAAAGTCATAGAAAATGAAGCAGCTAAAGTGCTCTGGGAGTTTAGAATTCGAACAGACAAGGACCTGACACACAACACCTTAACAATTGTTGATAAGAAAGACAAAAAAATTTGTATAGTGGATGTGGTAGTACCTGGAGACAGCAGAATAAAAGAGAAGGAAATGGAGATGATAATGAAATACAAAGACTTACAGATAGATGTAAAACAACTGGGCAAAAAAATAGTACCATAATAATAGGTGCCTTGGGTGCAATTCCAAAACATCTGGAGCACCACTTGAACCCCATCAGCATTGACAAAATCCCCATTAATCAATTGCAAAAGGCAGCTTAATGCGGAACAGACTACATCCTCTGATGGTATCTTTAAGACTATCAAACAATGTCATCTGCTTATCCCAGGTCCTTGGGAAAGACTTGATTAAGTAGATTAAAAATGCCAAATGCAGTCTAAATTTCTGGATGACTGTGTGACTAACCAACTCAAGTCAGTAATTAGTCATTAAACTAAACTAAACTACTTATTAAGAAGTTTATCTTTTTTGTTTTAAATAAATACGACATTGCCTTATTTGTGACCTACCTCACATAGGGAGCTCCAGTCAAGGGAAGAGTCTGTGTAACAAAGAACCTGAGATGCAGAAAGGACCCTTTGGCCATGAGAGTTTTAAATATTGCACATCCGAAGGAGAAGTTACACAGTAGTTGATGAGGAAGAGGTTTTAGCTTTCCTTTCTCTCCCAAAGCAGGAATTACATTTTAGAGGAGTGCCCGGAAGATCAGTTCACAAATCCCACGAGTTTGTGAGATACACCAGGTTAAGTGGACATGGGGCTGGGCCCTGTGGGGTCATCAAGATTCTGCCATAAAGTCGGTTTGCCAATTATCTCTGTTTTCTGAGAAAGTGGACCTTAATGTGATTTCCAAATGATAATTTTTCAAGTTGATCACTTTATTTCTTAATGAACAACAATCCTTTGAGAAGAGAAGTTCAGAACTGAATGGTTGAGTGTTTTTTTTCTGACAACTCTAAAGTGGAAATGAATGCTGGTCATATGACAATTTATCATCCCCACTCTCCAGCCACGATTCACATTGAGATCTCTTTTGTGCTCTCCTTTCCAAACTACAATTACTCCAGCTGTGGCTTTTGGAGTTGGGATCACTAGTGAGAAATTTTAATTATATTTAGGTAGATCAAATGGAAGATGAGAAAGAACATTGCCTAGTGTTTTGAACTGGTAAGGAGGCAGGAATGTTTCTCTTGTGTAAAAACTTGTGTCTATTGAAAGTTGTAGAGAAGTTGGGGAACCCAACCTCACCTCACCTCACCTCACCTCACCTCAAGGATGCTTAGAGGCTTATCACAATTGAACTATGTAAATTATGGAACAACTGAAATGAAAGCTATCCTTTGACCGCTTGTAGTTGAATGTATGAATTGCCTCCAAAGAATAACCTTGCACTTAAAACAACAGAGAAAACTTGTTCCCGCTCCCTAAATACCAGTGGACAGTCGTCTCATGCAGAGAAGTCATTCTTTATTCTGTTGCAAACCAGAGGCCATCTTCAAGGTGTGGCTACTGGTTCTTGCCGCAGCTCAAGGTTTCCACTCATCCTCGGAAACAGCCCATCTTTAGGTTCAGCCTCTCACAGGTTCACCCATCACAGGATTGGAGAATCTCGAAATAAGAGCCAATTTGGAAGGGGCCTCATTTCTGGTAGATGAGTCCAGTTTACAATATTTTTAGAATGATTTTCAAGATACAAGGCTTCCAAAAAATAATCCAGAGTTTAAGTTCAGAACTGAAGTTGATTCCTACAAAAATTAAACTCAAAGAATTGGAACTTTTAAAGGATTTGGAGGGAAGGGGTAAAGGTGTTTTTTGGGGGATTTTGGATAAAGTTCACAACTTAGTTCACAACTTCATAGTCCATATGCAATTATGCTAATGCCAGAATTAGTCTGTTAGCATGCTTGGAGAAACCAAGTAAAGCTTGGTGTTAGATTTTTTTAATATTCAGATAGCTTCTTAGGGAGGTGGAAATTGGATTTATTTATTTACATATTTATTATAAAAGGGATTGTTATATCAAATGTATGTGCGTATTCCATGTGGTTGTTGTTGTTTTGGAACTTCAAAGTTAGTCTTCATTCCTGTTGATGGCCTGGACAATTTTCTTGGCAAATGGTTTGCTATTATCTGCCTCCTAGGGCTGGGAGAGAGTGCCTGGCTTAGGGACAGGAACTCATGGTCTTGTCATTCCCTGCTTGATGCCTTAACCATTACACCAAACTGCCTCTCCTTGTACAGGTCTTAGTCCCTTGCAAATAACAGGCTCCTTGGAAAGAGGAAGAATCTGGCCCTTTCCACAGTTTATTAAAATGAAAATTTGGTTTCTTTAATGGTGTTTAAATCTCTTGATTGCAAAGAAAATGTTTTCCAACTTCCTGATTCTGCTTCTATTCCTCTTTTATTTCTTCTCCCATCTCATCTAAGTTCCTGTTGGTGATTTTTCATTCATCGGTGGAATTTTTTGGACATATAAAGCAGTTCAACTGTTTCTCTTGCAGACATTGTGGCTTCTTTTAAGCTTTTTTTTAAATTAAAAGATGCAAAATGTTTGGATGTTTCTTTTGTAGAAATGTTTTATTTAAAATTTTAACAATGTTACCGCATACAGCAAAACTGTGCACTTGATATATCACAGTGTCTTAAAAAGGAAAATAATCATTTTTGTTTGTTTTAAAACTTTAGTTCTTTTTTGAAATTCTATTTACATCTGCCTAGAATGATCTGCAAGTAACACAGTTACTATGAAACCAAAATTCTTACAAAATGTTTACAAAAAACTAAATTTATAGAAATTTCTGCATGTCCACAAAGGAATTTTTCCCCTGAATGTCACAGAGACCAGTTCTGTGGCTGTTGTTAGGAAATCAGTCCAGAGAGAGAGAGGATGGAAGGGCAGTTCAGTTGCCATCCCCAAAATCACTGCAAATAGACTCTTTTTGTGCAGAGATATTGTTCGAGAGCCAAAGAAGCCCTGCTAAGGATAAAGAATGAGTTGCGTGGTTGTGAGTTTGGAGCATGTGGACTTTTGCAACTGGCCTTGCACAGCAACTTTTGTGGTAGACCAACAGCTCAATGTCCAAAGTCAAAGCTGTTTGGTCTTCCTCTAGCCAAGATGTTGAAGGTGACAGAGGGCCTTATACATCTGGTCTGGTGGGTCAGCATTTGCTGGCTGCCAGGGAAGCAGCTGGGCTATCTTAGGCTTCCAGGGCACTGCCCTGGCCTGGGTCTCAGCTGTGGAAAAGCTCAGTTGCTCTAATGAAGGAACAGCCACCTCAACCATTTCCACGGCTCTCTGTGCACATTCAGCCAGCACCACTTTGTGTAAGAAACATGGTCTTCAGATATACCTCACGTTTACTTTTAGTTCTTCCCAGAAAGCTGAAAAAAAGAGAACCGGTTGTTGATTCAGATGCCTGGTCTCCCTCAGTGGGCAGGTGACCTCTTCTGATGGCCTTTCCTCCAAGTTCAGCCTTTGGAAGCCTCCTCTTTATCGTTACACACAAAATGAAAAGAATTGCATAAGCAGACTGGTTGGGAAGGATGAAAGACAACAGAAAGGAAAAAAGAGCTTGCTGCCATGCTTAAAACTGAAAAGAAAAGGAGTCCATTTCACCTACAATTCAGAGATCAGATTAAGGGAGCTCTTCCAGACTAGTGAAACTTGGCCAAACCAAAACACAAAACAAAGAGAGGAACTCCTGACTTTTGAAAGGATTCTGTGATAACTAAAACAGCTTGTTTCTGATGTATTAAACCATTAGTGTTTCTTGGAGCGGGAGAAACGAATTGGTAATTAAAAATGAGTAAATGAAATGGATACACAAAACTGGCTTTACTTATCATCACATTCAATGCTGTACAAAAAGGACTCTGCGGGGAGAGTGGATTAAGCTAAGGAGCATCCCTCCTCTTCTGCCTTAAGACCCTCCTTATAGGACGGAGAATCCCCCATTCCATTTTCTTTTTTCAAGGTCCCAAGGGGCCCTGTTTAAAATGAGCTAAAACATTTAATGTTCTCCTAATCAAATATCTTCTCTTTCAGGATGTGACTGAACACCTTGAGAAATATTTCCAAACTCTTGGCTCCCTTTTACTATCTCCTGCCATCACTGCTGATATAAGTAACCCAAGATAGGAAGTGGCTGAGAATATTTTCTCCACCAGCTTCTCATCACAAAGCAGCTGCTTGGAGCTGAAATGAGATGGGAAGGGCGTACTGAAATCCTTCCCTGGGCTGCAGTTATGTTCGAACTCTCTTCTAGCCTGTTGTTTCCCAAAGAAGCTGGACCCAGCTCAGCCCCACACTTGAACCCCTGGGTTACAATGTCTCTCTGGTTGCAGCCTCGCATGCTAGGCCTTTGCTGGAGGAGCAGGAAAAGGATAAAGGACTGTTGGTGTTACTCAGCAAGCTGTCGTACATCAACAGGGAGCCAACCCACACTCAGTAGCACTGATGATGCTACCTAGTAGGGCAATAAAGTGTCTGCAAGCAAACAAACAGGCTCTGAGAGTATCAAGGATTCCACACAACTCTTGATGAGTCTCCAGGCCAAGCTCTGCTTCTGCTGCTAATGGGCCAGCTGAACCTGTTGTGCCCAGATCTCTTGGGTGACCTTGTTGAAGCAGCCGGATGGCTGTGGAAGAGGCCAAGGGGACAGCTCTCAAAAGGCACTTTAGAGGACAGCCTTGAAACAGCCTTCTCCCTCTTGCCACTCTGGCCATCCACTGATGCCAAGATTCAGAATGATGGAGGGAAGCTACGTGTTCCCGGGCATGTTTTTCTTGAACTGCTTTCAGCTTGGAAAAGTACCCGTTCCAGAAATGTGGCAAGCTTAGCCAAAGATGCTGATGCTAAATGCTGATGTTGGATAAAAATGTGTCATCTGGCTCTGGCTGCCACTACACCATCAGCCTTTTATCTACCAGTAACTTCCCAGGCCAAGGGATGGCACAGAATCTACACCTGGCAATTCTAGAAAGAGGAGGGTGGGGAAGAGCAGCCCCACCTCTGGCTCCTTCCAAATGGCAGGTGGCGATGGTCTTTGGTCATCGGGAGAGAAAAACTCTGGTTGGAAGAAAAATGCAAACCATGTGCTCTCTGTGGTGCCTGGTCAAGGCCAAGCTTTGGAATAATTTCATCCTTTGGGAAGAGCTAGGGACAACAAGGAGAACCCTTCTGGCAACTCCAAGTCTAGGTTGGATCACCTTGATAAATTCCCATCCGTTGCCTCTTGTCCTGCCCTCAGGTGCTTTGGAGAATAGGCTGACCCCCTCTTCTCTGTGACAGCCCCTCAGATATTGGGAAATTACCTGGGACCTTACTTGGAAATGTATCCTTGGGCACCATGGCACTTTTGTACACAGAGTGGCTAACCAGGAGCATCCATGCATTCATTTCGGCCACAGGCTTTGCCACTGCTGCCAGCATGGGGGAATGTCCGTCCACATGTATGGAATGTCACTAGGTCATACAGCTCTCAAATGCCCAACTTTGTCCCCTGTTCACCCCCCACAAAGCCACATTGTCATTGCTTCCTATTTGCAGACGTTGGCGTGTTTCTTTCCTGGGAACTCTGTCCAGCTGAATCTGGTGACTGGATTGAGCAGAGCCTGGCAAAGAGAATTCCTCTCCAGGGTGGCAGGACCATGTTGATCTGCCATGGTGTGCTCTGTCGCCTTCTTGTTGTATCTCCTGACAGCTGAGGGAGCCCCACATCTGCCATCTGAAGAAGGGAGGGCTCCCGTAGCATCACCATCACCCTACATGCCATGCCAAGGCGGTTCTTCCTGAGGAACCATTGTTCAGCCCAGCAGGGAGTAAAAAACAAAACAAAACACTTCTGCTCCTCCCAGCAAGGGTGGTTGCTCTGGCCAGGACCCCTCCATTGCCCTCATCCCCCCCACCTCTGCTCCATTGGTCCATGTGGGGCTCCATGTACCTCCTGACCCAAGGCCCTCTTGCTTATTGCCATACTTAATCCAAAGAGTGGGATCCGAGATCTCAGATGGAGGGAGGTGTCTGCTTTGTCTTTTACATTTTCTTGATATGTAAACATCGAGACTCTTGGAGGTGTCCGGGTGAGGAATGGGGGGCTAGCTGTTGCGAGGCCTGCAAGGGAAGAATAAGGCCCCTGGCTGCAGAAGTGGGGCCACCTGCTGGGGGTCCATCCTTCCACAGGTCTCCTGCTCAGTGGGCTGCTTCTCAGGGAGCCTTTTCCTCAGCGCCCCAGTCCTCACCCCTCTGCTGGCTAGGGGAAGGCAGGGGTCAACCCCGTGTTACAGGCCAGGTTGTCTTTGCTGGGAAGCCGCCGGTTGTTGAACGTGTGCATGTTGATGACGGCATCGGTCTTCACCATGAGGGGAGGTTGGGCTTTGTGCTTTGTGCGCTGCTGGCAGGTGAGGGACAGCCGAATCTCCTCAGCCATGGCGCTGCAGAAGGACCGCTGGAAGCAGAGAGGCCAGAGGAAGAGGATATTAGAGTCCGGGCTCGGCTCGTTCAAAGGTAAGCAAGCCCAGCACCCCAAAAGGCCCACCTACAGGGCACCATGGTGCTGCAGGGGAGCCATACAGAGGAAGCCCCTCCTCTTCTCCATGCAGCGGCAGGGGGGGATTGATGTGGATGTGGCTGATGATGAGTTAGGAGAGTCAGGTGAGGGTAACTAAGGGGATATGGGGACTGTCTGGCAAAGATGGAGGGGAGACTGAATACCTGTGTTCGGATATGTCGAGGATGGCCTAAGGAAGATGGTCAGAAATTCTCTTCCATTCCCAGAGCATCCAGAATCAGAAATGAAAGGGATAAGTTGCACTCCCTAGACTTCGTTTAAATATAAGGAAGAACTTTCTGATGGTCTCCTCTATACCAGAGTGGAGCAGTCTCTCTCCAACTCTTGTTAAGGGTCTGAACAGCCAGATGGATTAAGTCGTTTTCCTGCAGATGACAGAGGGCTGGACGAGATAATGCTTGTGGTGCCTTTCAGCACATATTTCTATGATTTTAAGACTCTGGCTCTTCTAATTGATTACCAATTTGTTTGCTATATAAACCCCAACACATTGACACTTTGTTCCACCCTGAAGTTGTGTCTTTTGGGAGGGGGGGGGAGTGTTTTCCAATAAGGCCAGCAAGCCAAATGTGTTGTTTTGTGTTGGGGTGTTTAGAAGTAAAGCAGACTTTTGCCCATCTGGAGCATGTTAGTTCAGAGTACTGTACCTAGTATTGCCCCTGGGACAGTGTTTGCTCCCCCAACCCCTGGAGAGAACCACCAGTTCATCAGGTGACAGAGGAAGTCATTCTCCACATCCCCAGACAGCATTTCTTTCAACTTCCCAGTTCCCTGCTTTGGATTCGTGGCTCCCTGTTAGCAGAGAGCGACCTATCTCCTGTCTACAACACAGCCCTTTCGGCAGTGCCAAGAAGGTTCCACACCCGTTTTCACTCTGATTCAGGTGACTCTGAGGATACAGACCAGTGGTGAAATCTAAAATTTGTTACTACCGGTTCTGTGGGCGTGGCTTGGTGTGCGGGGGTAATGTGACTGGGTGGGTGTGGCCAATTTTTTTTTTTACTTTTAAAACCATTTTTTCTACAACCTCTTCAGCAAAGAGGTTGTAAAAGAATGCTTTCAAAAGGCTCTGATGATCCCAGCTGTGTTGCCTGATTGGCAGAGGCTTTTTTTCTTTTAAATGCCTCTGCTGATCAGGCAACTCAGCTTGGATTGTCAGAGGCTTTTAAAGCATTTTTTCTACAACCTCTGAAGAAGTTGTAGAAAAAATGCTTTTAAAAGCCTTTGAGGATCCCAGCTGAGCCGCACAATCATCAGAGGGTTTTTTTTTCCTTTTAAAAGCATTTTTTCAGCCAAAGAGGTTGTAGAAAAAATGCTTTTAAAAGTTAAAAAAAAAGCCTCTGATGATTGTGCAGCTCAGCTGCTATGGGGTGGGGTGGGGAGGGATTTTTGCTATCGGTTCTCTGAACCACCCGCTACCGGATCGAGCGATCTGGTCCGAACCGGGAGCATTTCACCTCTGATACAGAGAATCCCCCAAGTGGCCTCAATGACTCTCCAAGTGCTATGACTGGATGACTGCAAGAAATATAAATCCTTCCATTCCCCACCAGTCAGTTAGAACCAAAGAAGTTTCTTGGATGAGAAGCGAAACATTTTCAAAGGAAAAAAAACAAACAAGAAAGTTCAGCTGCCTTTTGAAGAAAAGCACCTTTGGGACAACCTTGACCTGGATGATTGAGAATCTCCATAGAGACCTCATCACTGCTTCCCCGGGGCTAAAGGGAAGGAGGGATTTCAAGCTAGGTGCCTGAGAAGCTGCTTCCCCTCCTTCTCAGGACAATCTTCTCTAGATCAGTGTAAAAAAAAAGGGGGGGGAGAAGAGTCAGACACACACTATGGAATTCACCTGTGGGTTGGCTCTGAGCTAGTAAAACCATGATGTTGGGGCGCCTCTTCCCTTTGGGATGGTCCAAGAAAAAAGGAAGAGGAAGAAGGAGGCCAGTACCTGCTCCCGCTCGGCTGTCTTGCGCAGCTTGTAGATGAACTCCACGGTGGCTACGAAGACCGAGAGGATGAGACCAGCAGCCAGGACAATGAAGAGCCCACCGATGTTTTGAATGCCGAGGGCACTGGCTTCCTTGCTCTCCTCTTCTGGGCAGCCATTGCTTCGCCACCACTTCTCCTTCATGGCGTGCAGCTTTGCTTCTTCCTGAAGCTGGAGGATCGCGATGGTGATCTTGTCTCGGTATGGCGAACCTATAAGTGGACAAGGCAGATATACCCAGGTGATAAAGCTAAAAGGAAGATTGCTCTGCGCAAAACCTACAGAAGAATTTTCAGTCAGATCTGTGGATTCCCGCAAACCTAGAAAAGCAACACACTTTTTGCAGACATTCCTATTGACTAGAATGTCAGACATAATTGATACAGCCATAAGTTTCCTATCTGCTTGCACTAATAATTTTCACTGCCTCAAAGGAATCACTGCACATTCTTGGTGCAGGATAAGTCAGCTCGAGAAAGGCAGTTTCAGAGGTGATTCTAAAGCATGTGCAGGAAGCTGTCCAGATTTCTTTGATAGTGGATTCCCTGGTATTCTCTGAGTATGGTTGCTTTCTTGCAGAGTTTTCTTTACCTAACTAGGTAACATCATTAGTGCACTGAGTTGGCCAAAAAAACATCAACTAGCAAACAACAAAGAGAACACCAAGGATTCCACAGTTCAACCCTGAGCCGCAAATATTCTCTTCTATTGGTTGTTTGATTGCTAGAGTAGACATGTGGGATGATCAGGGATTATCTCTAACCCTAGACTGACCCAAGACAAGCTTTGCAATTGTGCCTTGATAGCAGCCCGTTTGGTTTAAACCATAGTCTATAGAGCCCAAATTCCTGCATGCTTTTATCGAATGCTGCCCCCCTCTTTCCCACCCTTTAGCCTCTTGTTCTCTCTGGACCCTGCTGCTCTCACCCATGGGAGTGCCAATCCCATAGCCCTTGGAATCGATCAGTCCCCCAATCTGGGTTAGGTTGCAGTTTCGTTGGGTGATGTACTCAATGGTGGTGGATTCCATCAGCAGAGCATAATCAGAAGTCAGGGCACGCTGGATCCCTTCTTCGTTGTTCTTCACAAGAGCCGAGGGTTTGCTGCTCATGAAGGCCCACATTTTTTCAAAAGTAGAGATCTTGGACTTCTGAAAGGGCAGATCAATGGAAAACAAAAGAACAAGAAGGGAGGTTTTTTAAGCCAAGGCAAGAGGGATAAAGTAGACTTCACTCAAAAGCCATTGTGGGCCAGCTTCTGCACAGCCCTTGCCTTCATTTCAATTGTCATACAGCAGGAGATTTGGGCTCAAAATGGGCCAGCAGTCAAAAGGGGGTCAAGCAAAAACACTCTTCCTTTACATTACACAGAAGAATTCTGCATGAGCTAAATTACTCCAGCTCTGTTGTGGCCCCGCCCTCTGAGCCTATCCCATCGGAGGAAGAAAGCTCTGAGCATGAGGAAGAGGAGTCAGCCAGGCCTCCCTCTCCAGGCCCCTCCCCTCTGGCACTGTCTCAGGAGCTGGCCGAGGGAGAGGAGATTAGCCGGGAGACAGGTGTCTCGGATGAGAGTGAAGGAGAGACATCATTCCTGGACGCACGCCTCCGAAGGCGTGATAAACGATTGCAGCAGCTCAGGAGGCGTGCTAGGGATTAGAACTGAGTCACTGGACCACACCCCAGAGACTATATAATAGAGGGTGGTGGCCAGTGATCCCTGTGACGAACAAAAATAAACCTTGGATAGTCACTAAAGCCTCGTCCGAAACTGCTGAGAGGAATATTATTCCTGTTGGACTCTTGTACGCTGAGTATATTATCTTTCTGTTTCTGTGGAAATAAAAGCACTTGGCAGACGGTGTGTATATCGCTGCCAAGTTGGAGATAAAGACCTGGGTGTGTGCCAAGTGCTTCCTTAACCCTCGGCTGGCTGTATTTGTGTGTGTGTGTGGACGGGGACAGATCAAGCTCCTCCATAATGCACATGGCTCTTTGATGCCTCTACTGTTTCTGGTGATGGATGGAGTTCCATGAAAATCATGAATGAGAAGAGTTTGAGCAGGTGGAATCACAGAAAATTCATCCAAAATTCAAAGAGCTTTTGGCAGGACTGTTCATGGCAGGCAAGTAACACATAACCTGATGGCCGGTTCCTTGGTTAGACTGGCAACCTGTAACTAAGGCAGACAAGCTCTGACTAGCAGGTAGCTACCATGACTCTTTCCAAGTTTGCAAGTGCTGGAGGAGAAGAACAGAACTACAGAGTAGAAGAGTTGGAAGGGACCTTGGGGTCTTCTAGTGCAACACACCCTCTCAAACAAGTGACCTCCATATCAATCCGGACAAATGGCTCTCCAATCTCTTCTTAAAAACCTGATGGGGCACCCACAACTTCTGGAGACAAGCTGTTCCACTGGATGATTGTCACTGATGTAAAGAAAGAGGATCATTAAGATTAGAAAGTGGCACAGGCATAAGAATGTTTCTTTTTAAAAAGTAAAACAGGATAGATAATACATCTCTCAACTAGGAGAGATCCCAGGTGGTTATCATCCTTGGTCTTGGATGGGGCTGAACTCAGTGGTGAAATCCTCTGTGGGCATGGCTTGGTGGGGGGGATGTGACTGGGTGGATGTGGCCAATGTTTTTTTAACTTTTAAAACCGTTTTTTTCTACAACCTCTTCGGCAAAGAGGTTGTAAAAAAAATGCTTTCAAAAGACTCTGACAATCCCAGCTGAGTTGCCTGATCGGCAGGCTTTTTTTCTTTTAAAAGCTTTTGACGATCCCAGCTGAGCCGCACGATCATCATTCTGGCATTCTTTCCTATGGGATGAGAGATACAAAACACATACCTACTTCAAAAGACACACAATAAGGAATGCACTATTACAAATTTGGCTAAAAATAAAAAAACAGCATTACATGAAAATACCGATCTGGCTTTCACCACTAGAAGCAGTAAGGCATCCAAATTTAACAGAACTTTAAAAAGTAATTAGATACAAAGACTTAATTGAACAACAAGGAAAATTGAAATCAAAACAACAGTTGGAAACAGACCTAAACAGAGAAATCAACTGGTGGACTTATACACAAATCCAATCTAAACACAAGGAACATATAAAAGCATATGAAATCTATAGAGAGAAACAAGAATTAGATAAAATTATATTAGAATCAGAAGAGATACTAATTAGCAAAATTTATAAATTTTTATTACGATATAAAATGAGGAGGAAACAGTGAAGGATAGGATGATCAAATGGGCGCAAAATTTTAAATATACAATAGATTTGGAGAAGTGGGAAAAATTATGGCAAGTGAACGCAAAATTAACACTAGCGTTAAGGCATACAAGGAAAACCAGTTGAAGATGTTTTACAGATGGCATATGTCACCAACAAGTTTGGCAAAAATACACCCGAAAAACAGTGCAATATGTTGGAAATGTAAGAAATCTCAAGGAACCTTTTACCATCTATGGTGGACATGCCCGGCAGCAAAAAAATTTTGGTCTAATATTAAGAAATGGATGGAACAAATAACAAAACTGCAAATAGAAAAGAATCCAGAAACATTCCTGTTAGGAATCTTTACAAAATCATACCCCAAAGAAATAAAATATTTGATGATACATATGTTAACTGCAGCACGAATAACATATGCAAAAAACTGGAAACAGGAAAAAATCCCAACCGAAGAAGAACTAATAGATAAAATCTTAGAATGTGCTGAAATGGACAGATTAACAAAAGAAATCAAAGAAAAAGAAGAGACAGACTACTACAGAATATGGAACAAATGGTATAATTGGCTTAACACCATCAATAAAGAAACATAAATACAAGAAGAAAAGAATAAAAATGTAAATATGTATATAAATAATTTTTATAGGTATATAATATGAATATAGAAATGTAAAAAAGTAAAGATATAATCAAAATATATAGATTTCTATGGGGGAAAGACAAGGAGGGGGAAAAAAAGAAAAGAAGAATAGGAAGAGGGGGGAAAAAGTATTAGATTAAGAAGAAGGGGAAGAAATATAAAGTATCAGATGGAAAACCACTATGAAACAATGCTTTAAAAGGATAAGCTATTTATTTATATGTTGTATGTTGTGTAAATGTCTAATTTGTGTTTTAATAAAATTTATAAAATTTTAATAAAAAAAAAGTTTAAAAAAAGCCTCTGATGATTGTGCAGCTCAGTTGGGCATGGGGGGGGGGTGAAGGGTGGGCAGGGATTTTTGCTACCGGTTCTCCGAACCACCCGCCTCCATCGCTACCGGATCAGACGATCTGGTCCGAACTGGGAGCATTTCACCCCTGGCTGAACTATCCCAGGCAGACTTGATGCATAACTTGGGGGTCCCTGACTCACAGTTCCTGCTCAAAAAGCAGGTGGCAGCCATGGCCAGGAGGCCCTTTGCCTAATTCTGTGTTGCACACCAATTGCATCCTTCCCTGGACAGGGAGTCTCTACACTCAGTCACTCATGCCCTGGTCATCTCCCAATTGCTCAGTGAAGTGCACTGGGTATCAGTTTGCTTCTGGGTCCAATTCAAGGTGTTGGCCATCACCTATAAAGCTCTACAAGGCATAGGACCAGGTTATCTACAGATCCAGCTTCACCCAATCTCATCAGCCCGTCTCACTTGATCAGGCAGGGAAGGTATGTTGTAGACCCCATCAGTCAAATGATTTTGACTGGCACAATCTAGGAAGGCAGCTTTCTCAGTCGCTGCCCCTGCTTTATTGAACATCCAACCCCCAGAAGGGAGGAAAGCCCCCAATTGACTTTCCACAAAGGGGTCAGAACTTGGCCTTGGCTTTGTGGTGGTGGTGGGGCACAGAGGAAAACCCAGTTGTGTGGCTGGGTAGTTCCTTGAGAGCAAACCCCCCCCTCAGACTATTGGATGTTAAATAGCCATATTAGGACTTTTTTTTCTTCTTTTGATGTTTAATTGTCATTATTCTATAATTTTAAAATTTTTAATCCTAATTTAATTTTTAATTTTAATGCTAATTTTTCTACATTGTTTTGCTTATTGGTTATATTGTACATGGCCTGAAAGGAGGTTTAGAAATATGAAATAAAATAATAACATGAAATAACATTTTAAAAAATTAAATAAATAAATCAAATAAATAAATAAAGCTATCCATTTCAGATGTTTCTAAAACAAAAGCAAATAAAGAAGTATTTGGCTGTGCTTATATATAATCCTAGACCAGCCACGCTGTCTGAAGAATTCAGGGAATTGAAGTCCACAAGTCTTAAAGTTGCCAAGTTTGGAGACTCCTGCCCTAGACAATAGTTTAAATCATGACTCAGTGGCTGGGTTGGAAGAGACATCAAAAGTAATCTAGCCCATCCCCATGCAGAGGCAGTAACCCAGTCTACCTATCTAGTCTCTGCTAACATTAGCTTAAGAAAGAGTCTATCTCCTTGGAGGACGCCAACACCACTTCCAGGAGTTCACCCCGCCTGGCCGTCTTGAACCCCATTGCATTATAACAGGGAACCAGTTTGATTCATCATTCATGGATCAGCCTTTCCAATATTCCAAAATGCTATCTCTGATTTACAGTATCTCTGAGGCAATTTAAGGTGTACTAAGGCCCATCAACCTTTTCTCAGGAGGTTCATTTTGAGGCCCACACCTTTTTCTGCTTCTTAGTCTCATTCTGAACTTGCAGATGCTCCATAAATCCAAGCTGATGGAGCAACCAGCTAAGTTTAGCAGAAAACAAAGTAGCTCCTCTGATCTTCTCACTGCCAAGTTCAGAAGGAGAAGCAAATTGTATCTCATAGAAAACATGGCTTCAATACTACCATTTTCAACTTAAGTTCTTATTTGTTTGTTTGATTTGCCCCCTACCACAATTACACAGACCCTTGGTATCTGTCGCTAGCCCATTGCCTTTGATTTCCAGCAAATTTTGAGAGCGCCTACAAAAATAAGTTTGTACTTTCCATGCCAAGCTAGCCTTTTTGTGTATTGGTGTGTGTGTGTGTGTGTGTGTATACATGGAGAACCACATGTGTCATAAAAGCACTATATTTTCACTCATTGCCAGAAAAATTACCAGAATCTAAGGGAAGGCAATATACAATTAGCACAGACGTGGGTGTACACTTGCTCCAGCCTTACCTTGCATCTGAAGAGGTTACGTATATTACTACGGTAGCAATTAGAAGCTGACATCAATACAATAGGTGGCTAACAATATCAGCTTTTGAAGTTAATCGGGTATCTGGCATATATTGATTGAACTGCCACACAGCATTTTGAAAATAGCCAAACAAAAGATTTATCGAGACACCCCCACATTTGTTACAACATGACTGGGTGCTCTAATGCTTCTCCACCCTCAAGCAAATGAAAAGCACTTTAAATTAGTTTTTTTGCTCAAATTGATAGCGTCTTGCAGTTGCAGCCATTTAAGCTGCTGATTTGGGATCCATTTTCCTTTTGGCAAAGGAAAACCCTTTGTGCAGCTTGTCATGTACCTCTGTGGTAAGCACAAGATTCTGGGTTGTTTCCACATATACAATTTAACAGAATAACAGAAGGGGCCTTGAAGGTTTTCCAGTCCAACCCCTGCACAAGCAGGAGACCCTGCCCCATTCCAGATAAATGATTGTCCAATCTCTTCTTAAAAAATTCCAGTGATGGAGCACCCATAACTTCTGGAGGCAACCCGTTCCACTGGTTATGAGAATCTCCATAGACTGGTTAATTGTCAGAAAATTTCTCCTTAGTTCTAGGTTGCTTCTCTCCTTGATTAGTTTCCCTCCATTGTTTCTTGTCCTGCCTTCTGGTGCTTTGGAAAATAGGTTGACCCCCCTCCTCTTTGTAGCAGCCCCTCAAATACTGGAAGACTGCTATCCTGTTACCCAGGGTCCTCCTTTTCACTAGGCTAGAGGTATCCAATTCCTGCAATCCTTCTTCTTATGTTTTAGCCTCCAGCCTCCTAATTGTCTTAATTGCTCTTCTTTGCACCCTTTCCAGAGTCTCAACAACTTTTTTTTTTAATACAATTTTTATTGATTATTTTTTTTTACACAAATAAAATATAATAACAATTCTGTTTAACATCGGATTCGCAGTGTTTATACATATATACATGAATAAGTGTCTGGTGTCATTTATACTATACATTTCTAATTGATTTCTGCACCTTTTATTTCTTCCTTAATTCTATCATCTATCCATTTGTACCATCTTCCCCACACAGTATCATAGTCAGAATTTTCATCATCATTTATCTCGTGAGTTAATTTACTTATCTCTGCACACTCTAATATTTTGTTAATTATAAGGTCATCTGGTGGTAGATCTTTCTTTTTCCAGTATTGAGCGTATGCTAGTCTGGCAGCTGTAATTATATGTATTAGGAGGTGGACCTTTTCCTTTCCGTACCCTTTCTTTACCATTCCCAGGAGAAATATTTCTGGGTTCAGATCAATGTCTTCTTTAAGTATGTCTTTCAACCATCTCCAAATTTTACTCCAGTACTTTTTTGCTTCGGGGCATGTCCACCATGTATGAAAGAAGGTGCCATGACCATGGCCACATTTCCAACAATTTGGCTGCGCATTGGGGAACATCTTTGCTAGTCTTGCAGGTGCCAAATGCCACCTATGAAGCATTTTGTAGTGATTTTCCTTATATGTGGCTGCTCTAGTTAATTTATAATTTTTATTCCAGGCTTCTTCCCATTCATTAAAGTTCAAACTGTGTCCAATATTTCTCTCCCATGCTCTCAATTGATTTCTGATTATATCCTCGTCTCTGTCTTCCTCTAATAAATAGTTATACAGCTTGGCCAACACTTTTTTCCCTGGTGTCTCAACATCTTTTTTACATCGTGGTGACCAAAACTGGATACAGAATTCCAAGTGTTGTCTTACCAAGGCCTTATAAAGTGGTACTTTATGTGATCTTGATTCTATCCCTTTATTAATGCAGCCTAGGACTGCATTGGTTTCTTGGTGGCTGCTGCACACGATTGGCTCATATAGCACCCAGCAGGGGTGAAATGCTCCAGGTTTGGACCGGATCACCTGATCCGGTAGCGATGGCGGCGGTGGGTGGTTCGGAGAACCGGTAGCAAAAATCCCTGCCCCCACCCTCACCATGCCCAGCTGAGCCCCACGATAATCAAAGGCTTTTTTTTTTTACTTTTAAAAGCATTTTTTCTACAACCTCTTCCGATGAAAAAATGCTTTTAAAAGTAAAAAAAAAAAAAAGCCTCTGACAATCGCATGGCTCAGCTGGGATCGTCAGAGGCTTTTCAAAGCATTTTTTTCTGCAACCTCTTGGCAGAAGAGGTGGTAAAAAAAAATGCTTTGAAAAGTCTCTGACGATCCCAGCTGTGTTGCCTGATCGGTAGAGGCTTTTTTTTCTTTTAAAAACATTTTTTCTACAACCTCTTCGGCTGAAGAGGTTGTAAAAAAAATGCTTTTAAAAGCCTCTGACGAGTCAGAATTGACTGGATAGGGGAAACCTTTATCTTTACCTTTATTTACAACTCAAAGCTGCTCTTGACTCCCTCCCCTGACTCTGTGCCTCCACCATCAGTTGCTTTGTTCTTGCCCAGAAAGGGAGGCCAAGGGAAGCTTGGCTGGCAGAAGGCCCAGGTAACCTGGGCTGGGCACTGGGGCTCCCTTGGAAGTGGAGAGAGGGTCCAGGTGCAATCACATAAGAAACTATGGCCATCCCAGAAGCTTTTATTTTGGCTGCATCAGAGCAACCACTCAGCACAGGGGCACAGGTAGTCCTTGACTTATGAGCACAATTGAGCCCAAAATTTATCTTGCTAAGCAAAACAGTTGTTAAGTAAGTTTTGTCCCATCCTACGACCTTTCTTGCCACACTTTTAAAGGAATCACTACAATTGTTAAGTTAGTAACATGTTTGTTTAAGAGAATTTGACTTCCCCATTGACTTTGCTTGTCAGAAGATCACAAAAGTGATGATGTGACACCAGGACACTGCAGCCGTCATAAATATGAACACTTGCCAAGCATTTGAATTTGGATCACATGACCATGGGGATGCTGCAATGGTCATAAGTGTGAAAGACGGTCATAAGTTACTTTTTACAGTGCCACTGTAACTTCAAATGGTCTGTTGTAAATCGAGGACTAGCTGTAATTGCAGAAGCATCCATGGGACTCTCCTGTCCCTCCAGCCATGCTCCTCCTGTTCTAGCAGTCCAGAGCTTGTTTCCGGATCAAGTCTGCAGGGTTCCTGGCTTGAGTAGTCATTCCATCCTGCCAGCATCCAAGTGATTGCAGGTGGAGAATCGGACAGAGGGCGGCTAGCACGGCATCCCACAGTTCTCTGAGCAGGGAATTCCCCCCATCAGGGAGTCCCTGCCCTTTTCAGCAAGGGCTTTTGGGGCAGGGGTGGGTTCTACTTACCTTTACTACCGGTTCGCAATGGGAACGCAGAAGCTTCTGCGCGTGCGCAGATCACCTATGATGACATCTGGGTCAGTGGGTGGAGCTTCCCACCGGTTTTACTACTGGTCCAGCGAACCGGTCCGAACTGGGAGCAACCCACCACTGTTTTGGGGGCCTGACAGGCCTTGCTTACATTTCTTGACTGAGACTTCTGCTGCCCTCCTGTTTCATTTTGTCAATCTCATTATGACGCTCCTGCTCTGTTCCCTCTCGAGGAGTCATTATTGGAGATCACAGATCAGGAGTTTGGAAATGCTCCTGGCCTGTGCCAGGATCCTCTTTGGCATTCACAGCCACCAAATCCCTTGATACCAAGTTCCAGAGCCCCTGCTGTCTCTGGGGCCCCAGATGCATGGAAGCAGCTGTTTTATCCCAGTGTTGTGGCCCGTCAGTGGCCTGTGCAGTTAGTAGCTGATTCCGACAGCGAGGAGGCTGGTGTGGTGCTGCGCCAGCAGCCTGTGCAGCTGGCGCTCGAGTCAGACAATGAGGAGGCTGGAGAAAATGTCGTGCCAGGGGCGGGGATTCAGCCAGGGCCTTCAGAACCTCCAGAAGCTCCCTTAAGTGAAGAGGACGAAGAGGAGGAGCCTCTTCTCGATGCACGGGCGCGCAGTGCTGCCAAAAGGCAGGGGTGGCTCCTCAGGAGGAGATCTCCTTGAGAATAAGGCTTGGGGCTAATTGGCCACTCCCTTAGCCTATTTAAGGAGGAACGCCGACTGAAGCAATTTGCACGGAACAACTCTGTTCAATTACCTTCATGTCTTGCCTTGCTTATCTTATCAGCTTCCTGAAATTGCTTCTGGGCATTCTGCCATCCACAGTAAGCTTTCAGTATTATTCTTTGAATTCTTGGCGGCTGTTAATGCAGTTAATTAACAGCCGTCATTGTAAAAAACTGGTTTATTAAAAAACTGGTTTACTAAAACTAAGGTTTGAACGGACTGTGTGTGCTGTGTTCTTTGGGGTCCGTAGCTGGGGCAGAATACCCAGGCCCAAATATATTTTGCAGACAAGGACCTGCAGATTTGATTAGCAACTGAAATCCCACCATGATGCCTCCTCAAATGGCAGCCTCCAACCTTCTCCTTTCAGCAAGAACAAGGATGCCCAGCTCTGGTGAGCTTCTCAACCACAGGCACCCTCTTCCCTGGCTGACTTGGGACCCTTGCCTATTGTTGGGCTCCCCTGCCTGCTTCCATGGGCAAATTGCTCTCTGCTTACATTGACAGGGCCTTTGGAAAGGGGAGGGAGGCTGAAAGGGGAGGCAGTGGGCCAGGGGTTCTACTTACCTTTACTACTGGTTCGCAATGGGATCGTGCACGTGCGTGCACTTCACTCGGCCACGCGCCTTGCTTCTGCGCATGAACAGATCGCCGATGATGATATTGGTGGCGGTGGGCAGGGCCTCCCACCGGTTTTACTACCAGTTCTTGCGAACCGGTCTGAACCGGGGGCAACCCACCACTGCAGTGGGCCCCCCTTTGGGATGGGCAGACAGGAGAGGGCCAAGAGAGGAAGCAGCCATCCCAATGGCAGGTCTGCATGGACGCAGGGGCTCCATTCACTCATTCGGCTGTGACAGATGCTCTGGGGCCACTATGGAGGAAAGTCACAAAGATTGCAAGCTCACCTTGAAGAAGATCATGGTGGCTCCGTCCTTGACTGCTCCATATTCAATTTTGGTCTGCTTGGCCAAATCATCTGCAGAGCCAATGGGGGACTCCATCCTCTCCACCGTCAAGAAGGCAGCTAAGTTTGCCGTGTAGGAAGAGATGATTATGAGGGTGAAAAACCACCAAATTCCCCCAATGATCCGAGTGGACAGAGCTTTGGGCATCAGCTCAGAGCCTGGGAAAGAAGGGAGAAAAAAAGGGAAACAGTCACAGGCTGGACAGCCCCCCCACCCCCACCCCAATTACACCAGGTCAACCTGAGCAACGCCTAAGAAAACCATCCTGCTGTTTCCGGTCTTTTCTTCTGCTGTTGGCAGAAATTCCCAGCCCATTCCTGCTGACCTTGGGCACAGTCAGTAATTTATGGGGAACTACAAATCAGAGTACCGTATTTTCCGGTGTATAAGACGACTGGGCGTATAAGACGACCCCCTACTTTTCCTGTTAAAATATAGGGTTTGGGCTATACTCGCCGTATAAGACTACCCCTCTTCCAACGCACACCAAATAAAAATTAAAAAACATCAGATTTGATTTCAATATGGTAATTTTAATTCAAATGCTTATGCCTTTCCAAGAATCTAGTACACCAGGATACAGTGGCCTTAAATCTGTTGCTGTGATCTGGGTTAGATTTGGCCCACTGAAGTGCAAACAAACGTATTTTATTTCGTGTCACTACATAACCGTTTCAGCGATGCTCATTCACCATGTCTGCTACATGTTTTTCGAGTTCTGGCCAATGTGGGTTGCCTCTTCTTAATGCACACTTACCCCTTGGCATACTCTTTAACGCTTTTACATTTGCTTTCCAGTCCCGAACCATCTTTTCTGTTACTCTATATTGTCTTGCAGCAGCAGTTATTATGTTCCATGGCAAAGTTTACAACTTTAAGTTTAAAACTGGCTTCATATTTCTTTCTTCTTGCTGGTGGAGCCATGATGGGGTCTTGACTGTTATATTTGTATACTATACTGTATACTGTTGCTGTACTGTATGTATTGTTGCTGTACTGTAGAGAAAGGTAATGGGCTACGCTAGGTGTAGTGGCAAGAGGGCTATTTTGTACCAGGTTTTTTTCCTTCATCCATGCAGCCTTGTCGAGATCCGCACAGCTTCATGAATCTGAGTTGCTGGCACTGACTGATGACATTGACAGAAAGCTGTGCCAATCTAGTCAAGGCTGCATGCTGCTGAATGCTGGAACCAGCTGGGCTGCTGAGCGGAGCTTCTCCCAGGCATCTAGGGGGGTATTACCGATGCTCTGACTTCCCCAGCTGACCCCCACTGATGGCGAGGTCCACCGGTCTGGGGAAGTCAGAGCGTCGGTAATATCTCCCTGGATGCCTGGGGGAAGCTCCGCGCAGCAACCAGCTGGTTCCAGCATTCCAAGGAGGTCCATGGTGAAAGCGGCACCACGGTCGACCTGGGCCAGCACCTTGCACACCTGGCTCTGCGTCTCCATTATGAGAAGCTCCATGCGACTTCGCATGTCTCTGCCCCAGTCGCGCAGCTCTCGCAATCCGCTCACCGGAGGAGCCATGAAGTGCTCACACCGCCTTGCCAGATCTTCCTCATCCTCCTTTCCCCATGGCTTTTCCGGTTGTAATTGCTGCTGCTGCTGCCGCCGAGGCTGCTCTCCTTCATCTCCGCCCGCCGCACCAGACCCAGCCCGGCCAGCACCGCCGTGGCTCCCGCAGTCCAAGCGGATCAGCACCCGGGCTCACAGGCGAAGGGTGGGAGTGCGCAGCGCACTTTCCTGGCTTGGCGCCAATCCGGACGGCTGCAGTAATGGTGAGAGCGGGCAACCTCGGGAGAGCCATTTCGGGACTCCGTTTTGCACGTGTAGCGGATCCCAGTTACCAAGAAACCCGGAGAAGAGGCACAAGGGGGGTTTATCAAAAAGGAGCTTTAAAAGAGGTCTCGATACAGAGGACGCGGCGAGCATGGACACCGTCCACACAAACAGGCACCAAAGTCTCATTGCGGCAACGTTAAGCCGTGACTTTACACGCCTCCTAGTTTTAGGCTGCTTGTTCCAATGCCTTCGCGATAAGCTGGCAGAATCAAAACTCTTTTTTTTTCTTTCTTTCTTTTCTTTCTTTCTTTCTTTTCTTTCTTTCTTTCTTTCCTTTCTTTCTTTCTTTCTTTCTCTCTCTCTCTCTCTCTCTCTCTCTCTCTCTCGGTGGCTTTGAACCCGTGGAATTGGGGGGGGGGGAGAGAGGGGAATGTTATCAGCAACAAACAACAACAAAAAGTGTGTGTTTGTGGAGAGGGGAGGTAGTGGTAAAGGCGGCAGACCGGTTTTTTTTTTCCCCAAGCCGATCTCTTTCGCAGCGTATCCAGCCCGACCCCATTCAGAAGAAAGGCTGCAGCCGGAACGAAACGGGGGGGAAAGACATCTGCACCTTTTGTTACATACACACACATGAAACCCACAGTTTTCTGGCCTCTCGCGCAGATCTGTTGTGGGATGGGGTGGGTGGGAGCCACATAATTCCGGGAGGTGAAAAGGGGCGCAGGGATATTTCCAGAAATGAGCGAAATAATGCAATCCACGCAGCGACGCCCATATTCTCCCGTTCAGATTCTACCTCTGGCTGAGAGAAAACTGCCTTGAAAGTTTCTCTGCCCCCCCACCCTTTAAACCCAAGACCCTGCCTAGTTTGCAGACTAGAGCACTTCTTTCCCCCGCCCGATTAGCCCAGGTTAAAATCTTAAAAGCTCGGGCGCCCCTCAAGCCGCTTCTCCTGACATCGGGATGAACGAGAAAGCCGTTTTAGCTTCACCTATTCTTCCACACACACCCCTCCACCCCGGAAGGTAATTTAGCGCTGCTCCTCCTTTCCCCATGGCTTTTCTGGTTGTAATTGTTGCTGCTGCTGCCACCGAGGCTGCTCCTTCATCTCCGCCCACCGCACCAGACCCAGCCTGGCCAGCACCACTGTGGCTCCCGCAGTCCAAGCGGATCGGCACCTGGGCTCGCAGGCGAAGGGTGGGAGTGCGCAGCGCACTTTCCTGGCTTGGCGCCGATCCGGATGGCTGCAGAAGGAACTGGGCACCGGCTGTCATGTCTTTTCTGCTGTGCGGGATTCGGCACCTGGGCTCCTGGGGTTTAAGCCTCCGGGCCGGCCCGTGCTGCTCCAGGATGTTTGCTTCGGGCTTCTTGGAATCGCTGCTGGCGGTTCTTCCCGTTGGGGGCGATGGTGAGTGGCTGCGAGCCTGGAAGAGGTGGTGAAATGCAGAGCAATACCTCGTGGGGAAGGAGTTCGCTGTGGCTCCTGCAGTCCAAGCGATGCCGATCGCTGCCACCCACCATCACCCCAACGGGAAGAACCGCCCGACAGCGATTCCAAGGAGCCCGAAGCGAACATCCTGGAGCAGCGCGGGCCGGCCCGGAGGCTTAAACCCCGGAGCCCAGGTGCCGAATCCCGCACAGCAGAAAAGACATGACAGCCGGTGCCCAGTTCCTTCTGCAGCCGCCCGGATCGGCGCCAAGCCAGGAAAGTGCGCTGCGCACTCCCACCCTTTGCCTGCGAGCCCGGGTGCCGATCCGCTTGGACTGCGGGAGCCACGGCGGTGCTGGCCGGGCTGGGTCTGGTGCGGCGGGCGGAGATGAAGAAGCAGCCTCGGCGGCAGCAGCAGCACCAATTACAACTGGAAAAGCCATAGGGAAAGGAGGACGAGGAAGATCTGGCAAGGCGGTGCGAGCACTTCATGGCTCCTCCGGTGAGCGGATTGCGAGAGCTGCGCGACTGGGGCGGAGACATGCGAAGTCGCATGGAGCTTCTCATAATGGAGACGCAGAGCCAGGTGTGCAAGGCGCTGGCCCAGGTCGACCGCGGCGCCGCTTTCACTGTGGACTGCTGGGAAAGAAAGGAAGGTGACCCGAATTCTGGGGTAGAGTGGGGACGCGTTCCTTTCTCATGGGCCGCGCACTGCCTGGCACCTCTTGTAGGTTGGAACTCATTTGGAGTACAGCTTCCCTTCAATGTTGCCGGCGCTCCCAAAGTGTCATCGGTCAGCGCCAGCAACTCAGATTCGGGTACCCGGCGTATAAGACGACCCCCGACTTTTGAGATGATTTTCCTGGGTTAAAAAGTCGTCTTATACGCCGGAAAATACGGTAATTAACTAAGCAGCTTTTATGTGATTTGAATAGCAAGCCATTTGTGAACTTTTATGTCTCTTTTGTTCAATCGTTTAAAATAAAAAGAAACTCCTTTTTTGTGGATTGTTTTTCAAAAGGGCTCACTCCGAGGACATTCTTCAAATATACAGGCTTTTTTTTTTTTTATCCAAACCTCTGGGCAAGAAATGATTAGGGCTGTAAATAGCAGCCAAGGGTAGCAAACACCATTTAAAATGTGTTACAGGCCTACAGTGACTTTGTCCAAAGAGAGAAGGACATCCATGGATGGTTTTTTCTCTTCTGCTCCTGATTCCAGGTGGAACCAGGTTTAAAAGTGGAGGAATCCCGTCCCCCAGAAGGCTGAAAATTAAGAGATGAAAAAGTGCATGTCTTCAAAGACATTGAAACCATATCCCCACTGTGCTTCAGTGCTGAAAAGTGATAGCAGTTGTGAGGGGAAGAATACTCAAGATAGGAGGTCTGAAAACTTGGGGGACCTGGCGCCTTGCTGCTACCTAGTCTGTTCCATCCAAGGAGCCTTTTTCTGTGCTGGCTGGCCAGATTCTGGCTGGTGAATCTCCTCAAGACTACAATTCACAGACACGGAAAGACCTCCTGAGCCTTTTTTCTGAGTTCTAGGTTACTACTCTCCTTGATTAGTTTCCACGCATTGCTTCTTGTCCTTCCACCTCCAGGTCTGAGGGATGTAGATCTGGCTTTTGTTCTCTTCAGGAGAACACCTCTCCCACCCCTTGCTGGCCACTGGATAACTTCCTGCCTGATGCAAAGTTCTTGAAAACTCAAACACTTGCATTCTTTCTGTGCCATTTTTCAGTATGGCTATGACTCTTAGAACAGATATGTGACTACACAAAGCATGGCAAATTAGAGACTCGGATGAATATTCAGAAAGAAGGGAAGTAAATTTCTTAAAAAATTATGAAGGGGCAGCTTCCTATGCAACCTCAGGTTCTGATCCGTGGCATTCATAGACATTCAACAAGAACATGATGACAGCCTCCCTCTTTTTGTTGATGTGTCAATGTCACCCCTGCATGCAAAAGTCTTCTAGGGTGCAGCTGCAACTTCCAGCGTGACTTTTTCACCCTCCCCAGCTTGGGCCCTCTGGCCCTGGTCTGAGGCCTCCCTGTTTTCCTTGGATCTTTATTCTTTTTTCACGAATGAAAAAGTATCCAGACCAAATGCTGAGTAATCCTTGTCAGGCGTTGAGCACAGGGAAATTTACTGCCTGCTGGAACCCTTCTGGCTTGCGGGCCTTCCATTAGTTTAGCTATTTAGACCTGTGGAAGCCCCTGGACTTCTACTTCTCCCTGGCAGGAAGGGCTGGTGAGTAGGTCCTGTGTGGAGCAGAGGAAGTCTCACTCCCTGGGACCCCTTGGACTGGGTAGTTCTATCAGGGAGAAGTAGGTCTCGCCTCCGCTCTAAAGATCCTCCCCAGTGGAAGAGACAGAGAAGCTGATCTTGACAAGCTCTTCAGAGACTGCCTAGAGACATCCTCTCTCCCCCCATTTCAAAAGCAATGTCTTTGCTTGTCATTGTGTGATGAGAGCAACTCCTTGGTGCTCTGCTGCTGCTTGTAACCATGAAGGAGAGAAGACACCGTATTACATCTCTTGCTCCAAGGCTTTTTCCCCTAACAACAACATTCAGCTTGCACCTGTCAATCAAGAAGCACGCTACATGCGCATAGAGCAATACAAGAAGGAGGGAGGAGGAGGAGCAGGACCTACCTTGCTGCATCAGGGCTCCCATTCCAAACCAGAAACTGTTGAGGAGGGTGAAGTTGTTCTCGACAATGTCTGACCCAGGGTTGCATGGATGAGCATCATACCATTCGTAAGGGCTGAACCTACATGTGGAAAGAGGGGAGGTCACACTCCTGCAGAAAGGACAGGCATGGATGGGCAGGAGAGAAATGCCATGGGTTGGGCACCACTTGGGCAATCTGAATCAGGTTGGCCTCCCCGTTCAGGTTCGAGCAAAAGTGGAATTCAGAAGTTGGCCTTCCCCAACTATCACTGGAGAAACAGCCTATGGCAGTACGTTACTGCCGTAGTTTTGTGAAACTGGCTGATACACGTAGCAACAATAACCTTTTGGCAATGAGATGTGGATGAATTGTGAAAGTAGCTTTTATAGTTTAATTTCCCTATGTCTTTCTCCCTTTATTTTACAAAGTTGCATGCTCTGAGGAGAGAGACTCCACTCAATTTGAATAAGTAAGAGGAAGGGGCTTTGCATAAACATGTTTTGATGTGTATAAAAATAAAATTGTTCATACAGTCTTTTTATGTCCTGAATGGTATTCATAGCAATATACATATATGTGCCTAGTGCAGGACTGCTTACAAACGTTTGAAATGATGGACTGCAGCCTGCTTTAAGTTGAATTTCATTCCCAGTGATTGCGAAAAGATCCAGGTTGTTTTCTTGGCAACAATTTGTACTAAAGAGAGTGTGATTTGCAGTGTTTTGCAGTGAAAACCAGGATAGAAATTCTACAAGCAAGCAAGCTGGGAGCCAAGGAGGAAGAGGAGAGCTAGGGAAGGAGGAGGAGAGCTAGGGAAAAGAGATAATACTGGGGCCTTGTTAGGAGAATAAAATGGAAGCAAGACTAAGCAAAACTTGCCATCCATGCAGTGAGACCAATTTTCTTGCTGGCATCCCATCCTGGTGACTGGTGCGAATTGTGTCTCCACTTAAGCAGAGGCACCTTTGAGGTTCTGAGCAGCCCTGCTGGTGATAGAAATCTTTCTGCCTGGGAGGACTCACAGAAAGGGTAGTTAGCTGTGAAAAAGATCCTCATTTGGGAAAACTTTTCTCCTCACAACTTTTGTGCACATTGATTATTTTGCTAGAACAGGTACATGCAAAGGATGAAAAAAGGCATAAAAGGGACTTTTGAGGGAATCTCAAACTGCAGGAATCACTCCCAGCCAGCCAACTGGAAATTTTAAATTAAAATCTTTTCCATATATGTAAAAAAAAAAAAAAAAAAAAAAGCCAAGGGACAGCTCTGTGGAAGAAATAAATACTGTAGGTGAATTCATATATAGTTATTGCAGCATTTCAGGAATACAATAATGGGACACCTCAAGTACCCAAACATTTGTTGGAAAACCAACTCAACCTAGATTGAACAGCCCTCCCTCTGCCTCCCCCCCCCCACATCCTCAGTGGTTTGGCTGGTTCTTCCATTCCCCAGCAAAATGAAACAAAATTTAGAACTGATTCCAACCAAGAGGGAAATATTCCTTGGAGACCAAAAGCCTCTGTTCCTGCCAAATCTCTACAAAAAACAAGCTTCCTATGTTCATTTAATTCCTCTAGTCACAGAAACAAAGTCATACATGAAAGTGAGATTTCAGGATGTGCAGCTGCAAAATCTTAGAGATATACTAGGTGGGATCCCATGGATGGAAATTCTTAAATATAAGGGCGGGTGAATCTACTCAAAGTAAAATACTGGAAGTACAAAAGGGGCTCCCTCCACCCCCTTTGGTTCCTTTCTTTTTGTTGTATCAGTAGTAAAAGGAAGGAGTGGCAACCTTTTCACCAGGTATTAGTTTGAGTCTAATACATTTTATCTAAGATAAAGCATGAAGATGTCACTGCATGTTGGAGCACTTCTCTAGGGATTAAAGGACAATGAATATTAATCTTATCTTCACAAAATAGGGGGAAGATGCACCAAGATAAGAGCCTGAAAGGAGGAACCCTATTGGTCAACTTGACATTGATACCAGGTAAAAGTGTGGATTATTGAACAGTCAGTTTATTAGCCTTTAGAAAATTATTTTATTTGTTTCTCACATTGCTATACCACCCATTTCCCTCAAAGAGGGGATCTGGACAGTGTACAATAAAACATTAAAATATAAAACAACCCCATCCAAATATAAGTATAAAAGTTGAAATAAATTTTAAAAATTGTTTAACAGGTGCTAGTATGGGTTTGTTAATAACTAGGCAAGCCATGCCCTGTTGGGTCATTGATTCAAAGGTATTTCCTTTCCTAGACAGAGAAACAGAATGATTATGGATGGGCAAAAAAGCAATGAGACTGGGAGTGACTTCCGAATTCCTGCAGGCTTCCCCACTGACATTGCTTGTGGGAAGCTAGCAGGGAGCATCGGAAATTTTCCTTCCTTCCTTCTGTAGGCAAAATCAGTTTTCAGATGAATGGAACAATTTAAAACAAAAAGAATGTGGCTTTGTAACTTCTGGTTTGCAGAGGTTCTTGTAAGTTTTTATCAGAACATCCCCCTTTGCAACCCCTGAATCTCAAGATATAAAAGTTTCTTCTAAGGCCATTGTTCTCTGTAGATAAAAGAAGGGCAGGAAGCAACCTGAGATCTATTATGTTATTACTTATTAATATGTATGCATGCATAATTTTCCCCTCCGTTCTTCAACATTTTCCCCAGCCTGACTACATTTCTAGTTTATTCTAAGTCTTAGCTTTCCTGACTTTATCCCTGTAGATTGGGGCTATTTGCTGGCATTCTGTTTTAGTTATATGCCCCTCTTTCCATTTTTATATTTGTTCTTCTCGTCCCTTAGATTGTCATAGAGCTCTTTGTGCAATCATGTTGGGTTCATCTGTAGTCTCTTAATTTTACACCCCAAGGTTCTGAAGGAACTGGCAGATGAAATCGCAGAACCACTGAACTATATCTTTCAAAGATCCTGGAGCACAGGGGAACTGCCAGAGGACTGGAGAAGAGCCGATGTAGTTCCCATCTTCAAAAAAGGAAAAAAAAAATAGATCCAGGAAACTACAGACCTATCAGCCTGACCTCAATACCAGGGAAGATTCTGGAAAAGATAATCAAACAACGAATCAGCGAACACTTAGAAGCAAACCAAGTAATAACCAAAAGCCAACATGGGTTTGTCAAAAACACATCATGTCAGACTAATCTTATCGCATTCTTTGACAAAGTGACAAAATTAGTGGACCAGAGGAATGCTGTCGATACAATTTACTTGGACTTTAGTAAAGCATTTGATAAAGTAGACCATAACCTACTACTAGATAAAGTAGAAAAATGTGGGTTAGACAACATCACCACCAGATGGATTCATAACTGGCTGACCAACTGCACTCAATGTGTAGTCCTCAATGGAACTGCATCTAACATGGAGGGAAGTATGCAGTGGAGTACCCCAGGACTCTGTTTTAGGCCCAGTGCTCTTCAACATCTTCATCAATGACTTGGACAAGGGGATAGATGGGGAACTCATCAAAGTTGCAGATGACACCAAGCTGGCAGGAATAGCCAACACTCCAGAAGATAGGCTCAAGATACAGAAGGATCTTGACAGACTTTAACATTGAGCACTATCTAAAAAAATAGCCCTTCATGGCCTAGGCCCGGAATATTTGTCGGACCCCCTGCAGCCAGTGACAAATCCCAATCTCCCAGTGCATTCCCACAGACAGGGCGTCCTCAGGGTGCCGTCGGCCAGACAGTGTCGGCTGGCGACCCCCAGGGGGAGAGCTTTCTCTGTGGGTGCACCCACCCTCCGGAACCAACTTCCTTTGGAGCTCCGGATGGCCCCTGACCTTTGCTCGTTCTGCCGCAATTTGAAGACCTGGTTGTTCCGCAGCCTGGACTGATGGGGGGTTTCTTAATGAATTTTAAACTGTTTTAAATTGTAATTTTAATTTTATATTGTCTTTTAATGAGGAACTGTACATTTTTACCATTGTGAGTCCTTGGAGATAGGGCGGCATATAAATTGCATTATAAATAAATAAAATGAAATTCAACAGTGAAAAAAGCAAGGTTCTACATTTAGGGAAGAAAAACAAAATGCACAGGTATGTATATGTGGTACCTTACTCAATAGTAGTAACTGTGAGAGGGATCTTGGAGTCCTAGTGGACTCCAAGTGGACCATTTAGATATGAGCCAGCAGTGTGCAGCAGCTGCCAAAAAAGCCAACACAGTTCTGGGCTGCATAAACAGAGGGATAGAATCAAGATCACGTGAAGTGTTAATACCACTTTATAATGCCTTGGTAAGGCCACACTTGGAATACTGCATTCAATTTTGGTCGCCATGATGTAAAAAAGATGTTGAGACTCTAGAAAGAGTGCAGAGAAGAGCAACAAAGATGATTAGGGGACTGGAGGCTAAAACATATGAAGGACGGTTGCAGGAACTGGGTATGTCTAGTTTGATGAAGAGAAGGACTAGAGGAGACATGATAGCAGTGTTCCAATATCTCAGGGGTTGCCACAAAGAAGAGGGAGTCAAACTATTCTTCAAAGCATCTGAGGGTAGAACAAGAAGCAATGGGTGGAAACTAATCAAGGAGAGAAGCAATTTAGAACTAAGGAGAAATTTCCTGACAGAACAATTAATAAGTGCCTGCAGAAGTTGTGAATGCCCCAACACTGGAAATTTTTAAGAAGACATTGGATAACCATTTGTCTGAAGTGGTTTAGGGTTTCCTGCCTGGGCAGGGTGTTGGACTAGAAGACCTCTAAGGTCCCTTCCAACTCTGTTATTCTATTCTATTCTATTCTATTCTATTCTATTCTATTCTATTCTATTCTATTCTATTCTATTCTATTCTATTCTATTCTATTCTATTCTTTTTGGTATTGTTTTTGTTTGAGCTTTTAGTATTTTGTTTTTCAGAATTTACCATGGATCCTAAATTGTTTTTCCTTCTAGGATTTACATTCATGGAATCCTTCCTAATGTCTCTCTTAGTTTGTTGAAGTCAGCTCTTTTAAAGTCTAAAATATCTATATCTTCATTATAGCAAATTCTAGTATGACATGGAAGCTCCCACAAAGCTCCTATAACTTCCACTCCCTCAACCATTTCAGCC